GTAATGAGCTATGGAGGTGTGAGAAGCGAGGAAGAATCCACCGTCAGCAGGAGAGGGGAGTGGAGTGGGGGGATGATGTCAATTTATCGTCTTCATACACAGAGAGAGAGAGAGAGAGAGAGAGAGAGAGAGAGAGAGGGCAGTGGAGTGAGGAAAGTCATATGATTTTTATGCATTTTCAGTTAGCGGTGGCAGTGCAAGAGACTGGACGTAGGGGGAATTGAATTTTAAGAGGCGGAGGAAGAGGAGGAGAGGAAAGTTAGAGGTTGAGGATGTGAGGTAGGAAGGGTTGTATGGCATCAGGGGGACGAAGCTTTTCAAGGGTCGATTTGGGGGCGTGGGCAGCGGCGTGTAAGGGAGAGGGGAGAGTTGGTGGGGTGGGGGATTGTTGGGGAAGAGGCAAGGTTTGAAGGCAGGCTGTAGTTTTGGCAGCAGAGTGTAGGGGAGGGGAGAAATGTGAAGGAAGGGCAAAGGTGCAAATTGCCTCGCACGATAACGGGTCGAGCGGGTCGAGGGGGAATTGAATGTTGAGAGGAGGAGAAGGAAAGGGGGTCAGATATTGGGAATGCGCACGATGGGTGGTATGGCATAACGAATGAAGATGGTCAAGGGGGTTGTGAATGAATAGGAACGGAGAAGGGGGACCATGGGGGGTAGGGAAGAGGACAGAAGTATGAGGAAAGGCTGTAGCCTAGTCCGGGGTGGGGGGGCGGGGGCGCCGTAGGGGAGAGGGGAGAAGTATGAAGAAAGGACAGCCAGATGCAAAAGAGGAGAGAGGAGCAAGGAGCTTTGGAGGTGTGAGAAGCAAGGAGGAGGGAATCCACCGTCAGTTGGGGAGGGCAGTGGAGTGGGGGGATTATGTCAATTTATCATCTTCACACACACACACACAGAGAGAGAGAGAGAGAGAGAGAGAGAGAGAGAGAGAGAGAGAGAGAGGGCAGTGGAGTGGGGGGAGTGTAGGGGGTGTAGGGGGGAGGGAAGAACTGTGAAGAAAGGACATAGCCGGATGCAGAAAGAGGAGTGAGGGGCAAGGAACTATTGTGGTGTGAGAAGCGAGGAGGAAGGAATCCACCGTGAGCAGGGGAGGGCAGTGAAGTGGGGTGATGATGTCAATTTATCATCTTCAGAGAGAGAGAGAGAGAGAGAGAGAGAGAGGGCAGTGGAGTGGGGGGAGTCTAGGGGAGAGGGAAGAATTGTGAAGAAAGGACATAGCCAGATGCAAAAAGAGGAGTGAGAAGCGAGGAGGAAGGAATCCACTGTGAGCAGGGGAGGGCAGTGGAGTGGGGGGACGATGTGTCGATTCCTCATCTTTGGGGCACACACACACACACACACACACACACACACACACACACACACACACACACACACACACAGAGAGAGAGAGAGACATGATGTGATATGTTTTCTTGCTCTCGAAAAGCCGCTCACTGACAGCATTGAGTCCCAAACCCTATGCAAAAGGGTTAGAGCATAAAGAGACGGAAAGTAGCCACCTGATATAATCTCAACGATTTGTCTTTCTGCAATGACTCTGCACATTAATTAATATACACGCATTTGCTCGATACACGCATTTGCGCGATGTTCACTGAAATCAACCGCTATTTGTTTGATGGCAAATCCAATCTCATATACAGCAAAAGGGGGCTTATCTGCATACAGAGACATGGTATGGATGTAATTAAGGTGCATGTCAGTCTCAATTCTTTGTTCCCAGAGTTCCATGCACAAGGGTACGTTGCTCAAGCAGTTGATTGATACCCACTTTCATCCGCAGCTATTGTTTGGGGGCCAATTGGAAAGTCGAGCCAGAAGTCCAGGGATGGCACGATGGCCAATTTTGTTGGCTTAGGAAAGGTTTTGCTATTTGTCTGAGGGCAAATGAGAGTGTTGTGTTTGGCTACTCTTCATCCCTTCCTCCATGATCACTCCCAGCTGCTCCGGTCCCTACCTAGAACATGTGGAGACCATACACGGGCTAACTGCCTGAGTAAGGCACCGAAGTAGCCTGAAGCTGCTGGTTCTGCTTGCTCGATCCACCCACTCCCACTCCCTCTGGTCGATGCCGCTTGTAGTGGACATGACATGGTGATGTCTTGATTTGCGAAAGGTAGTGACATGGCGTGTACTGCCATCAGCTGCATAAGTTAGGCAACAGAGGTTTCTCCCCTTCCATTTCTTGTTGTGCATGTGCTGCCACCGGACTGGTCCTGGTTCCGCTCATCGGCTGGTCTCACCTATGTAGCGCTGATCGACCTGCAGAAATCTGGTCAGCGATGCATAAGTGTGATTGGAGTGGTTTTGGCGTTTGTCTTTTCCTGCATGGGCGTGTACCCATTCCTGGTGCCAATCTTTCTCCTGTGCCACCTGCAGCTCCTTGGTACTTTGTGCATGTGCGAAACAGCCCTGTTTCTGCTCCTGCTTGTGGCCTTGCAATCCGATGGTCCTGGTCCAACCTGTGGCCAGCTGGTCGTCGCTACACCCCTCTGGGATTGTCTCACTTATGGAAGCTTCTCATTGATGGTGTTGTTCCTTGACCATGATGGCCACAAGGTCAATGCCATGGTGTCACAGCGGAAGGTCTGACTGCTGCTTTTCTCTCTCTCTCCCCCTCCCTGCCTCCCTCATTAGTGGTGTGGTTCCTTGACCATGATAGCCACAAGGTCCTGGTCCAACCTGTGGCCAGCCGGTCATCGTTCCACCCCTCTGGGCTCGTCTCGCTTACGGAAGCTTCTCATTGATGGTGTTGTTCTATGACCATGATGGCCACAAGGTCAATGCCATGGTGTCACAGCGGGAGGTCTAACTGTTGCTTTTCTCTCTCCCCCTCCCCCCCCTTCCGTTCCTCCGTTACTAGTGGTGTGGTTCCTTGACCATGATAGCCACAAGGTCAGTGCCATGGTGTCACCGCTGCAGGTCTCACTGCTGCATTTCTCTCTCTCTCTCTCTCTCTCTCTCTCTCTCTCTCTCTCTCTCTCTCTCTCTCTCTCTCTCTCTCT